GAGTGGTAGTCCAGTTTCCGACATGAGTCCACCACATGCAACTGACCATTATCAACGATCACAGTTTGCGAGTGGTAGCCCAGTTTCCGACATGAGTCCAGGTGGAACTTCTACTTTAGAGAATGTTGACTTAGCTGATACCCCTGGCTCCCGAAATCCCTACCGAGATAGCATGAATGCAGAAACTTTGCCAGCAACCTACTATACTGGAAATGGCAAAGGCAAAGGTCGAGCATACGATTAGTCTTCCTAAATCTTCTCTCCGAACTTCATAGTCACCTGGATTTCATCTAGGGGACGAACAGTCATCTAAAATACCACAATTCTTTACATTTCCTCCAACCTACCTTTATTCTCACCATCATCTCATCCAAGGTACCTTTCATCTCCCTCTTTCATCTCGCACTGTACCCCTGGCCAAGGAACAGATGAAAGACAGAGAAGAATTCTATATCGGACCACCTCAACAACCTCAACCCACTGTTTGAATACCCACTCAATACCCTGTACGACTATTTCTTTGACACCACCTGGGGTTTACTTTTCCTTACACCTGGAGTTATTCGGAGTTTTTTACTTTCCATTCATTCTGCGCGATTGGCACTCGGGCTTTGGGCAAAACAAAACAAAACAAAACAAAACCCCCCAAAAATCAAAACAAAACAAAAAGTTACCAAAATCCGATCTTTACGATTTGCTATTACAAAAAGGCTGGGCGCGGATATGATTACCACTAGTGATCGATCGGATGGCAGAGACAGAGACACAAAAGCACAAGACATTCATTTGGAATTTCCCCTTCAAGTTCGTTGGTTCTTCAGGATACAGCTTTGGGAAGGCGTTTCACTTTCAGTTTCACTTACATTTTCATTCATTCACTTCACTCACTCGTTCCAAAAAGAGGAGAGAACAAAAAATAACACCTGGTCTTTACATGCTGGATGATGATGAAGTGTACATAGGTACTATTCTATTCTATCCGATCATATTATACATATTCTGTTCCATTCCATTCGAGAGACATGAATACAAATAATACAATATGATGCGGTGCGATGCGATGCGATGAACGATACTATACTATACTATACTATCTGCACTGCACATACTATCTGCACGGCACGCTTCATATGATATGATGGAATATCATACCAAACAAAGACAAAGACACAGCGAAACACCCACACACACACACACACTCAAAACAAGTCCAAACGGTTTACTTATATACACACATGACAGTACCTACTGTTAACAGTCCAGTCCAGTACAGTCCAGCAGTACAGTCCAGCAGTACAGTGCAGCAGTACAGTGCAGCACAACAATCCCATCCCGTCGTTACAGATTTGAAAATGGTGCACATAAATACACATGCATGCACTTACTTACTTACCTTATTGAATCAGCAAAGAAAATCGAAGAATATTGAAGAGAGGAGGGAAGTAAGGGAGGAAGGAAGAAAGAAAGGAAGAAAGAAAGGGGGAGAGAAAGAAAGGGGAAGAGATAAAACCCATACTCATACTCATATAATGCGGAGGAGGAAGGATATCATTGCTATCCAGCAACCAGCAACCAGCAACCAGCAACCAGCAACCAGCAACCAGCAACCAGCAACTTGATGCGATGCTGAGATGCTGAGATGCTGAGATGGAGAGATGAGCAGAGTTTAATGGGGAAGAGTAGTTTCATTGATTCATTCAAGCAAGCCATTGTATTTCCTTTCTTTTCCTTTCCTATTTTCTTTACCCAAAAGAAACCAAAATAAAAGTATTGATGCAATAGCAAGCAAGGTAGCAGCAAGGTAGCAAGCAAACAAGCGAGGGAGTTTTTATGAACTATGAACTTTTTACATACCTAGGTACCCACCCACCCACCAACCCCCAAAAAAACATGCCTTGGGGTTTCCGTTTCCGTTTCCGTTTTTCGCCATTTTGGGGTTGTTCTGTTCTGTGATTGATGTGATGTGCTGCTGTGATGTGCTGCTGTGATGTGCTGTGATGTGCTGCTGTGATGTTTTTAACTGTGACATTAACATTAACATGAACATGAACATGAACATTAACATGAATAATATAATAACGATCAAAATGTAGTTGGGTATTATACTATATACTTCCTACCTACTACTTCCTACATACTACTTCCTACCTACTACTTCCTACCTACTACTTCCTACCTACTACTTCCTACCTACTACTTCCTACCTACTACTTCCTACCTACTACTTCCTACCTACTACTTACTACCTACTTACTACCTACTTACTACCTACTTACTACCTACTTACTACCTACTTACTACCTACTTACTACCTACTTACTACCTACTTACTACCTACTTACTACCTACCTACCTAAGAAGATATAGATATAGATATAGATATACCAAGACCAAGACCAAGACCAACTTTAACATACAGACAGGATGAGAGATTCAAGATTCAAAATTCGACGATTGACGATTCATTCATTATGTATGTAAGGTACCTATGTATATGACCAAGGAGATTCATGCACGACTAGGTAGGTAGGTACGTATGTACGTACGTAAATAAATACAAAGTCCCCAAGGGCAAGGCAAGGCAAGGCAAGAAACCCCCCAAACCAAACTAAACACGACTCCTCTTCTTATTCTCCCGATGCCTCTGTTCCTTAGCCACAGCCTTTCTCCGCTTCTTCCAGCCTCTCGTATTCTCTCCCCGATGCTCATAGAACCATTTCTGGAAATCGCTCTCGGGCGCCACCTCCGCGTCCTTTTCCTTGAAGATGATTTTCCCGCCCGTCGACTCCTTCGGCGTGGGGGAATGGCCTTCGTAATCTTCTTCGTCGTCGTTGACGCCCGGCCAGACAAATCTTTTATTGACATGGGCCGTATCAGGTGTCGGGGCGGCACTTCGCACACCGCGATATTCCATATCGCGTTGAGTGAAGGGTGTGAGGGGGATTTGACTGGGTTCCTCGCCAATATCGGAGTCTTCGTCATCAGCGCCAAAGAAACTGAAGGCGGTTGACTTGGTTTCGGGTTTTGGCTCGTCGGATTTGGAGTCCGTGTTAGGTTTGGGACGTTTATAGAGCGCTTCGAGGGGATGAACCTCTGTGGGGATGGACGTTTCATGAACGATGGGGGAGGGTATCTTGATGCTCAGGCCAGAGGATGACTGAGGTCTGGCGGTTTTAGCTTCTGGGGTCATGTGCGAGGTTCGCGGTGGCATGGTTGATGGTGTGGATGTGATGGGGTTTTCAAGGGAGGCTGCGATAGACGATGCGTCTTCGCCTTCTGAGGAATCGTCTGAGGAATCCGACGACTCAGAATCCGATGATGTGTCAGAGTCTGATGATGATGCATCATCCTCCGATTCAGCTTCAGCTTCAGAAATCTTTGGCTGGTCTGAATCGACATGTGGCACCTCCTCCTCCGATGAGCTTTCTCCATCTGAAGAATTCTCTGTCTCGATTGGAACTTCAACAGCTTTGGCTGTTTCTGTCTGCACATGGTTTTCATGTATCGGTTGTGGCTTGATGTACTCGTCTTCATCAGCAGAACTCTCCGAGTCTGATGAGCTGCTGCTCTCAACTTCCGCTGCCTTCTTCACTTTCTTCATCACTCGCTCCTCAAAATCAGATTCATCCGAAGAAGATTCTTCTTCTGAAGAATTGTCTTGTTCTGAAGCACTGCCACTAACTATGTCCATTGCTTCTTCCTGGGAGGGCTTCTTGACCTTTTGTGATTCCTGGTTCTTCCGTGTCTTTTTCACCACTTCTTCCACTACATTGCCATCTTCATCTACCCATCCCTTCCCATCCACAAACTCCACTGCGGTCTTCACTTTCGCCCCCCCAGTACTAGTTCTTAAGAAGGTGGCATACTTTGTACTCTTAGCAAACTCATGCACAATAGTACCTCTACCCTTCTTGCTCTTCCTACTCGATTTATCACCACTCGCAGCCTTGGTGTGTGCAGCAATGTTTGGCGGTAAGATTGTCTTGAACAAACACTCCTCATTTGTAGTATATTTCGACTTGACAACATTCTTAAGTTCCTTCGATTCCCTCTTGGCCTTGTTCAAATCCGCAGCAGTTGTAGTCCAACCTCTCTTAACTTTCCTATCTCCAATTACGGCAGCGGGTATAGTTTCCTCTCCCCGTTTGCGCTTTTTGCTTGGGTCTTTCTTCTCTCTTTGTCGTTTGGGGGCTTCTTCTGGCTCGTCTACTGGGCTTAAATCTTTCGCTGGTCTGGCTGTTTCGATACGAATCTTTGAACCTTTCAATATAGAACCGTGGAGTTTCTTTTTTAACTTTTCGGCGTCCATGGTGGGAAGTTCGACGAAGCCGTAAGCTTTGTCCGGGAAGGTTTCGAGGGTATGGTAGGAGATGTTCTTCGCATTGGGGAGGATTGACGGAGGTATTATGGTAGTGAGGAGGTTGGGATTAAGTGGGGTTATGTGTAACCTTGTGAATTCTGAAGTTGAGGACATATCTATGGTAATACCTAGATTTGAGGCAATACCTTAAGAGTTACTGGTAATGAATATCTGTACAAGAAGTCATATATGGTCTGTAAAAAAATTAGGGAGCTTGGAGAAATTCATTCCATTGATAGCTAGACGGCGCTAAGATAAGGGAGAAGAAAGGAAAGGGTGGTTGGAGTTGTAAGCTTAGACACGTGATCAATCATAGGCTATGAAGCTTATCCATGGGACGGGCTTCAATCCGCAGCCCATGTTTTCGAATTCGAACAACCAAAAGCAAATCAAAGCCTCGAATAGGTATTAGTTTTTTAATGAAGATTATTTAGTACATATTAATGCTCTGGAAATCTGTGACATTATAAAGACATAACCTTACACAACTGTTATATCCTGTAAAAAAGGAACCATGAATCTTCGGAAGAATGATTTTCCAGTGCCGAACCATTCTGCATGATGTGTATCCCCCAACGTGATCCACCTCCCACCAAAGCCATACATTCCAAATTATAGCACCTCACACATCAATCAAAAAGGGGGTCTGGTTTAGGGGTATAACATTCCTTTCGCACATCACTAGCTAGCTAGTCAGTACATTAGGAAAGGTCTTGGGTTCGATTCCCAAGTCCTCCACATTCTTTTTGCTATTTTTTTCCCTCTGGATTTGGCCTCCAATGCGTTACAGTCAATTCATCTTTTTTTTGGGCGGAAGTTTTTGGCCAAGTACCTACCCCACATAACCGAAGAAAAAGCACCCTCTTTTATGTACGCAGTAAGCGAGAGACTCCATCTACCACCGGTAAGTGATAAAATAGGTAGGTATGAATAGGAACAAACCAAACACCCTCTGCACGTTTTAGAACAATTCCTTCCTCCTTCCTCCTCTCTAAATTAAAATCTCCTGTTCCGTTCCATCATATCAGGTCAAGCTCGTTTGTAACTTGCTATAGACATCAATTATATACACACATACCTATATATATATATATATATACATATATACATACATATATATATATATATATACCTACAGAGAATAAAAGAATACCTATACTTTTAACCCGAAAATACCCATATATAAATCCGCCCGCCCAAAACAATCCTATAACAATCCCAAATCCTCTCAACCCCTCCTCCAAAAATCCCAAATAAACATAACATAAAGAACCCCGATTCATCACATCACATCTAATCTTCTCACCATCTATCTTCTCACCATCCATCCATCCACCATAAAAAAACGAAAGGAAACTTGGATGAAAGTTATTAATTAGACTGTTCTATTCTTTTATCATACCTACCAAAACCCAGGTAGTTAATATAATATCACTATAACCATAATAGCACAAATAATATATATATAGGTACATACATAGGTACCTATTACTTAATGAGCATTTACTCATTTACTACCTACGTACCTACGTACTATCAAAGTCATCCATTCATTCATTCATACATTCATAGGTACATATATCATGCATGTATGATTCGAGACTAGGTAGGTAGATAATGTATCAATCATGACATACACATCATCATCATTATACCTACTTAACACCCCCCTGATACATATCAATATCATCATTATACCTCCCTCCTTCCCCCTTTCCCTTACTAAATCCACATCAACATTTTCAGCTACGCTACCTACCTCCCTACCTACCCTACCTACCTACCTATACTAACTAGCCACCCAACATTTCATTAACATTACATTCCATTATTCTATTCTAGATCGAATCGAATCGAATCAAATCAAATCGAACATTCCAAACCAATGCTAAATAAAGTTGACTCGTATTATATGATCTTTTGATTCATATTTATATTCAAGTTCATATTCATATTCATCTTCTCGCTCCAAATGAGGAGCCATGTATAGTCTCGAATCTCGATGAAAAATTTTCATCGACATTGAAATATCTTTTTCGGCCTATATCACGTTCGGTCTTCCTTTTGCATGAGAGAGAACAAAGTCAGGGTGAGGATTAGGAACGATGAATGAATCACTGGGGAATACATCTTGAGTTCAAATCATAATTACTATTGGCTTCCCTACGCTAGATAGATACATAAGTAGGTATGAGACCATATGTGTTTGTTCATTAAAAAAATCAGTTTACAATGGCTTGCCACCGATGAAATCAGACCACCTGCGAACTTCTCCTGGAATACCTTCCTTGCGAGGAAGCTTCTCATTCATACATTGGGCAAAGAGCTCGGCAGTCTAAGGAATAATTAGCAAAAGATCTACGAGGAATCGAGAAATGTTTCTTACCTTTGGCTCCATGAAGAGAGGAACACCGAAGTCGACGGCGTTTCGGCGCATGACATAGTCGGTATCCTGAACGGTCTTACCTCTAGCGAGCGCAAGATTGAAGACACCACGGATATCGTACTTCTTGAAAACTTCTCTCAAAGCTCTCTTGTCCTCCTTGGGGAATTCAATAACCTCAACACTGACGTTACCCTTAGCAGTCGATTCCAAGAATTTCTTGACTTCAGGTTCGGCAGCGTAGAGTTTGTAGCCCAATGGGGACAGATAGTCGACAATCTTGGTAAGGGATGCCTTAGAGACATCACCACCGAAAAGAAGACCCTCTCCTGGTTCTGGCATACGGAAATTCATAGTTGATTGAAGAGAAGCCCAGTAAGCCTCGACGAGATCCTTACCGAAGCAAGCAATCTCACCAGTACTGGACATTTCGACACCCAAGAATGGATCGGCACCAGCAAGACGAGTCCATGAGAATTGAGGAACCTTGGTGGCAAGGTAATCACGCTTGATGGCCATGAGATCGGTAGGTTCAGGGACATTCTGGCCTACAAGAGCCTTTGTAGCGACATCAATGAAGTTGACACCAAGAACCTTGCTGACGAATGGGAAGGAACGGGATGCACGCAAGTTACATTCGATAACCTTCAATTGTGGGAGACCTCCCGCAGGGTCCTCAGCCTTGATGATTTGCATGTTGAAAGGACCGGTGATGCTCCAAGCCTTGGCAACCTTTTCAGCAATCTCCTTGACACGGTCCATTGTGGTTTGGTCGAGAGAAGCAGGGGGGAGAACAAGAGTGGCATCGCCCGAGTGGACACCAGCTTGCTCAACGTGCTCACTAACAGCGTGGAGGATGAGTTTACCGTTAGATCCGACACCATCGACATCAATTTCTTCGGCACCTTCGATGAATTTGGTAATGACAACTGGGTGGTCAGGGGAAACATTGCTGGCAGCTTCGAGTTTCTCCTTAAGCTCATCCTTGCTTCGGATGACAGTCATGGCAGCTCCGGATAAAACATAGGAAGGTCTAACGAGTACTGGATAACTAACTTCCTCCGCAAATGCCTCGGCATCTGCAACTGAGGTAAGTTCCTTCCAGGCTGGTTGATCAACTCCAATGCTGTCCAAGATTGCCGAGAACTTTTGTCTGTCTTCTGCCTTGTCGATATCCTTAGGATCTGTACCTAAGATCTTGGCCCCGCCTGTCTCTTGCAAACGAAGAGCAATGTTTTGTGGCAATTGGCCACCTACAGAGACAACAACACCAGTAGCAGCCTCAAGTTCGTAGATGTCCATGACACGCTCGTAGGATAATTCTTCAAAGTAGAGTTTGTCGGCGGTATCGAAATCAGTAGACTACAAAATTGTCAGTAATTGATTATCAAGAAGGACGATTGGGGGTAACAACATAGGTTTCCGGATTGTACTGGAATCAATAAGTTAGCTGTGTTAAAATGTTTCTGGAAGTCTGACTTACGTTGATCATAACAGTCTTCTTGCCCATCTCTTTCAGGGCAAGAGTTGCACTGACAGCACACCAATCGAACTCAACCGAGCTACCAATTCTGTACACACCACTTCCCAAGATAATGGTTCCATTATCTTCAAAGGTTACATCATGAGTGGTTGCGTTGTATGTTGTGTACTAGAACATTGAGGAGTTAGCAAATGTCTTCACACAAATCTACATAGTTGAAACATCCAAACAGAGTTAGAAGTTGGGGAGGTAGCAAATGTCTTTCAACAAAGTTACCCAGTTGAAAATCGAAACAAAATTGTACATTCAAATTTGAAGTAGACATTCAAATCGTCTTGAACATCCAAACATTATGAAGTATTCAAAACGAAGCTGGACATTCAAACAAATTTGGACATTCAAATGAATCTGGACTTCCAAATAGAGTTGAATATCCCAATAGAGTGTAGTCCCAATAGAATTAAACATCCAATCATACTTTGACATTCATACAGGAAGCATAAATGCAAATAGATTGGTTATTCAGGAAACATTAAACAGAAAAATATAGTTGGATATCCAAACATCAATGAACATCCAACGTGGCTTAACCAAAAGAATCAGGGGAACATCGGGAATGACAACGGAAATGAAATGAATGGGCTCACCAGGTAGTTAGTACTGGCAGGGAACTCGGCGGCAAGAGTATCAATTCTCTTAACAAATGGAGTAATGCCAAAGCTCTTTCTGCGAGCTCGAACTTCATCCTCGGTGGATTTAACAGCATTGGCGATTTGTTTGTCGGAGAAACCCAACTTCTTTGCCTTTTGGATAATTTCTTTCTGGAGTCCATCAAGACTTCCAATGTCCTCGAGTTCGCGAGTACAGTCAACAATGTTCTGGAGCTTGTACAAAAACCATTTGTCAATCTTGGTAAGGTCATGAACACGATCAACGGAATAGTTCTCGTGAAGCATGGCTTGCCCAACAGCTAACCAACGGCGATCAGTAGGGTTCTGGAGTTCGTAGTCAAGGTCATCGAATTTGTCTCCTTGGAAACCAACAAATCTTGGGTCAACTTGACGAATAGCCTTTTGGATAGATTCTTCGAATGTTCTGCCAATAGCCATGACTTCACCAACAGATTTCATGGCACTGCCGATATCACGCTTGACATGCTGGAACTTTGATAAATCCCATCTAGGAATCTTAGAGACGATATAATCAAGGGAAGGCTCAAAGTTTGCAGTCGTAGTCTTGGTAACAGCGTTTGGTAGCTCGGGAAGAGTGTGACCGAGACCAATCTTGGCAGCAGTATACGCAAGGGGGTATCCAGTAGCTTTAGAGGCAAGAGCAGATGATCGAGAAAGACGAGCGTTAACTTCAATAACTCTGTAGTCCAATCCATCGGGTTGTAAAGCGTACTGAACGTTACATTCTCCAACAACACCCAAGTGTCGGACAATCTTGATAGCAGCTGAACGAAGCATGTGATATTCCTCGTCACTCAAAGTTTGACTAGGGGCGACGACGATAGAATCACCAGTGTGAATACCAAGAGGATCGAAGTTTTCCATGTTGCAGACAGTGATACAGTTGTTACTGGCATCTCTGACAACCTCATATTCAACTTCCTTCCATCCCTTCAATGATTTCTCAACCAAGATTTGAGGTGAAAGAGTCAAAGATCTAGAAGCCATGTTGCGGAGTTCTTCCTCGTTGTTTGCAAAACCAGAACCGAGACCACCAAGAGCATAAGCAGCACGGACAATGATTGGGTAACCAATACCCTTTGCAGCTTCCAATGCCTCGTCCACAGTTGCTACAGCGACTGATTGAGCAATTGGAATATTAATCTCACCAAGAGCCTTGGCGAAGAGATCTCTATCTTCA